AAGGCCCAGAGGGTGGGCTTGCACAGGCATGGGAAGGAGAAGGTGGCCTCAGAGGCCTGGCAGAGCAGGGCCTGGAAGCCAGGGGAGTGTGCGTGGCAGGGGAGAGGTGCCCAGCAGGCTGGACTGGCCTGGAGGCAGTTTGCCAAGGCTCTAGAGGACAAGCAGCCCACCCCTGAGCCAAGCCCGGATAGAGCTTGTGGGGTCTCACCAATTCTCCCCAAACCACTGCACCCCTGGACTCAACTATTGCTCCCAGAGACCCTGGATCTAGGGTAGACTGCTGGGTTGGAAAGTTGGCTCCACCATTCAGCGGCTATGTGCTCTCAGTTGCTTAAACCTCTCTGAACTTCAATTTTCCTTGTCTATACAATGGATAAAATACCACCTACTTCCTAAGTGGTTGTTAGGAATTCATTGACACCTTTAAAGCTGAGCGCAATGCCTGGCACACAGTAAGCACTCAATAGTATTGCTAATTGGTATTGTCATCATGATTTTCCACCCAGTAGCCACCCCTGCCACCCGGGTCACTTAGACAACCCAAGCTCCCTGCCTCCAACCCAGGCGCCTCTCCCCGCACGGTCCCTAGAGGGCGCCCGGAACTCACTTGTCCTGGTTTTCTGAGCTGAAGTTCCAGGTTGGGCTCCTCTTTAGTCGCTGCCTCTTCCAGCATTTGGGTCTTGGCAGTTCCAGCAGCAACCAAAAGAATAAGGACTCAGGGACAGCAAGGAGAGGAACAGGAGGGGCCGGGAACAGCTCTCACCAAAGCTCCTCTTCCGCAGCACACAGCGCCCCGGGCCTGGCACGGCCACCCCTCTCACCGCTCTCACTCTTCTCAACCTTTACACCCACACAAGGAGTCCGCTTTCCACAGGCTTCAGGGAGGCAGTGGTGGTCACTGGACCTTCTAGGGTCCTTAACTGGAATCCAGGTGGGCCCGTGTCCCCAAGCCAAGCCTCAGGGGCTGCAGGGCTGGAAACTGAAGCACAGACAGAGGAAATCCCCACCCTCAAGCAGGCCGGTTGTTGAGTTAGACCCTCCCCCGTCTGGGCTGCAGGAGGAGGAGGAAGACGAGGGGAGGGGAAGAAAAGGAGGGGTGCTCATGGGGTAGCCACCAACAGGAGCTGGCCACCATGACAGATGAGAGCTTCTGAGAGAACCCGCAAGCCCAGCAGCGAAGGCTGTGTAGTGTACGTGTGCACCTGGCACGCACACCTGTAGCTCCCCTTGTGCACACCGCACCCCGGCGTCTGCGCAGTTGGCGGGTCTATGTGAGTTGGCACACAGCAAGGCAGGCTGTGGGTATGGGGCATTAGTTTGTACCCACCTCTCCACACAACAGGGGTACACTGTGCTTCCCAGCACTGACCCGGCACCCCCCACGTACACACACACACACACACACACACCCCTGACCACAGCCAGCACAGATGCCGGCTTCTCAGTCTGCTCTGAGCTCCTTGGAAAACCCGACCTGGCCCCAGCCTTCCCTCAGCCTGCCTGCTCCTGTGAGAAGCCAGGACAAGAAATCTAGGCGAGGGTGCAGGTGGGGAAGGACCAAGGGGGCCTCCCTGCCTGGGCCAACCAGGCCAGGGCTGAATGGGGGGCAGGAGGTGCTGCACAGGCTGTTTTGAGCCATGGGGGAGGGGGGGAAGCACAGACACAGCAGCATGGATCTCTGAGGGCTGATTCCGGAGCTCCCAGGAGAGAGCAGGAGGGGGAGTGTGGGAGCCCCTAGTGTGAAAGTGGGGGGTGGGGGGCGACAGCAGAAGATGTGGGAGGGGTTCTCCCGCATCCTAGCGGAGGGGCCCTCAGGGCAGCCCCTGGGGCCACAGGCCCTCAGCTGTCCTCCAGCATGGCTGCCGGGTCCCAGCTGCTCCAGCTCTGCAGTGTAGACACAGGTCCCTGCCTGGTGGTGTCATGCACCTGGCTCCTACCCTGCTCACCTGCAGGTCACTCACACACAAACACGGCACCCCGTCGGAGTCCTAGGCCCAGAGCAAACCCCTCATGTGCTGCCTTAGGGTGCACAGGGCACGCAGCACAAAGCCGCTATTATTGTTAACAGGTTGGGCCAGATTCTCCGTGTGCCACCCACCACACAGCACAGGGCCTCTGGGACCCCAGCCGGCCCCAGTTCCTGGGGCCCCCGCAGTCTCCCACTCGCTCAGCCACCACCCTGGGCTGCGGCAGGCCTGAGCCGGCACCCAGGGCTCCATAGCGCCTGGGAATTTGGCCAGTGCAGTCCGCTCGCTCAAGCCAAGGAGGGAAGAGGGCCTTTCTGTCCAAACAGGTTTGTTAATTCCCTTTCTCCTCTCCCGGCACCTCGGTACCTCTTCACACCATTATTCAGATGATTTGTTCCATTTTCATTTTTGAGCAGAAACTGATCGTTTCCAGCAGGTGCAGGTGGAAGGTCGGGAATTTCGAGCTTTAAGTAGCCAGTAGTTGGCCTTGACTGTGACCCTCACGGCCGCTCCCCTCCAACCTCCTCCCGACTCTGCCCAGGCAGGCCGGGCGATCCTGGGCTTTCTCCTCTGCCGCTGCCGAGAGGGCGCTCGGTGCACGCGGGATTCGCTGAGATTCTGTCCTAACGAATTCTGGGCGGAGGGCGGGAAGTCCAGCGTGGTCCCTCAGCACGAAGGGCCCCAGCGCCCCTGGGAGACAGGCACCCCTGAGAGTTCTCGCGCAGGACCTCTCCGAGGGGCCGGGACAGCGCGCGACGCGGGTCGCAGACCGCCGAGCGCGCTGGGAGTAGGCGGGTGGTGTCCAGGAGCTGAGCGCCCCGGCTTCAGCGCTGGGACCGAGACAGACGTGTTGAGTCCCCGCTCCTGGGCTAGCCCCAACTAAGCGGGTAGGGTCTAAGAGCAGCTGGGCTGAGGGTGCCCTGGCTGCATCTGCACACGCGGTCTGAGTGTGAGCGCTAGGCTGTTCCTGAGGATGGGGGGAGGGGTCTCGCGCCTAACTTTGTTTTAGTTTTCTCTAAAGAGGGGGTCAGAGGGGTGAGATAGAGAGGTCCCAGGCTTTAGGGCTATTGTGTTTGTTGTGTTAGGGCCCGGCAGCTGCTTCCCTGCCTGCCCCACCTCCACCGTCTGTGGCCAGAAAATATCCAGGGGCCTCTGACACTGTAGCCTCTTGCCAGCGACCCTGGAATCCCATGACTCTGGGACCCTTCAGCCAGGGCCCTCGACTGCCTCTAAAATAGGCAAATTCAGGGTGAAGAAGGAGCTGGCTCTGAGAGGCTCCAGTCCAGGTGGGAGTGGAGGAGACAGAGAGACCTGCCCAGGTAGAAAAAGATGAATCCCGTGGGTCCGGGAGCGGGCTCTGCATTTCTCCTGGCCTGGTAGTGTGGGCTTGTGAACACAGGAAACCTGCCCCTGACCCAGCGCTGCTGTCAGCGTCCTCTGTCCTCTCCGTAGGACCAAAACATGGCTCCTCTGGGCCTGTTCTGAACAGTCAGTCGGTGGGCCTGCAGGCATGGGGACAGGGAGGGGCCACGTCCTTTGGACCCAGACCCCTCTTCTCTTGCTGGAGATCCAAAAATGCCACAGAGGAGGGGGTAGAAGAGCAAACCCATTTCCCCCACCCAGCCAAATTCCCCTCTTGGGCTTCCTCGGATGGGTGGAAAGTCTGGAAAGTCGTTGCGATCTTCCATTTCTGTGTCCCAGCACCTCCACCCCAGGGCTGCCAGGGCAGGGGCAGGGATGAAAGACATGGCCAGTGGCTCTGACAGCTTTGGTGGCTCCCCTCTCACCCTCTGCTCGGTGCTCACAGCTCTGCAGGCCCCACACCTCACCAACCTCTAGTTCCTAGCCACAGAGGTCTCTGCTACGGCCCCTGCTCTGACTCCTCCCTGGGATGAGTGAGCTCCCAGACCCTCCAACACCCAGGTTTTTCAGCAAGCCCAAGTCAGTTTTGCTCCTCAGGGACTGGTCCAGTAGGTCAGGAACCAGCCGTTCTGGGGTCTGCTCTTCTGGCCAGCGTGGCTGGGGAGCCCCGCTCTAGCAGACGCGGGTTCCCTGCATGTGTCTGCACCCCCACCACCACATGCAGCAGCAGCACACGACCGCACCCACTCACACAACCGCACACGCGCCTGCGGGACGGTGATTCCCACACTCCGCTATATTCGCTCTTCC